GCAAAATTCTCTCTACCCTGTGTGCAGGTTACATAGATATACGCGATAGCTTCTATAGGTGCACGATAGATGGCGCTGTGTTCTCTACCATACGTGTGCTTGTAGGTGCGCGCGGTTCACGGAAGCTGGAGCCGAGATGTGTCGGCGGGAGGATGCAGAAACAACCTGGAGATGTTCTCCACGAATCCGCAATACCTGCTCACGCTGACGGAGGCCGGTAGGTAGCGCCACCGCACGCTGATGGGCCCGGTAGATGGCGCCACACGCTGACTCAGCCCGGTAGATGGCGCCACACGCTGACGGAGCTTTAAAGTAGTTTTTACAGTAACCCTAACGTTTACTTTTATTCTTAATATAACCCCATCGTATTTGGTATTTTATTTTGATAAGTTTGCCCAAGCCTATCTAGAACTATAACCCTAACCCTAACCCTAACCCTAACTCTAACTCTAACCCAAATCATATCACTAATCATAACCTTAACCCTAACCCTGACCCTAACCCTAACCCTAACCCTAACAGTACCTTTAGCCATAGCTCTCACTGTAACAACAACCGTCTCACATTAACTTAGTAACATTAAGATTAACGTTACTTAAAGCTGAATACTACATATATGATAAAGGTTACATAATATATAATACATATGCCGAAGGTTACGAACAGAACGGATGCTCTAATTACAGATAGGTTCGACCCGCGCTACGACGACGAGAAGCAGCGCGGGAAATGCAGCCTCGTTATCGGCATGATGCAGGAACACCGGCGATCGCAGCGCCATCTAGGAAGCAAAACATTGCAGATTGGATTCGTGATATACAAGGTTAGCCATGTGACCATCTGTTACCGCACGGCAGACGACAAAAACTTTCATAAATAACGTATCACAAGATACCGACGGGTTCAACTTTGTAGAGCTGGACAATTTTATTTTGTACAGACGCATTAAATTATACGTTAGTTTATGCAAAACGTATTAAATAATTGAAAATTTTTATCGTACATGATTAAAAAATTTCATCGGATCTCTATAGTTAAGGTTATAGGAAAATAAAGTTCATCAGAATTAGATCCATAATAAAGTTATAAATTTCGTCAGTGTAAGTTTTTTTATAACTTTATTATGGATCTAACTTAGATTAACTTTATTTTTACTGTATTAAATAATATATTACGGTTTAATTATCAGCTTGTGTATTCTTAATTGCTGCAGACGAACGACCCGAGCAAGCGTCTGCCTCAGCAGCATTTCATGTACAACTATGACAGCGGTACGTCGGGAACTTACATTAACTACCGCGAGGTGACAGCACGGTTCGAGCTGGATCCCGGTCATTACGTCATCATTCCGACGACGTTCAAACCCGGATTTCCGGCGTCCTTCATGATCCGGGTTTTTGCGGAGAAAGATTTCGATCTCAGGTAAGCGTCGAATGGAAGGCCGACGCGAAACAAGAGAACACTTCAACAAAATTTCTAATTTAGCGCTTTATGAAGTTGGGTTTTCGCTACGTGACGCGGCTACCATCGAGCACGTGACGAGCACGTGGCTAGCACGTGACTAGCAGCCGATAATAGCGTCTTTTCACGCCATTTATCTCCCATATTGTTTTAATCTAATTTAGTATTATCATTATTTTCTATTCTAGGGAACTTTCTCATGTGATCAAACAAGAAAGCGGAAAGAAAAAGCATGAGAAAGAAGGAAAATAGAAAAATAGTTAAAGAATAGAAAGAGAGGGAGAGATAGAGAGTGCGAGAGAGAGAGAGAGGGGGAGAGAGAAAGAGAGAGAAAAAGAGAGGGAGAGAGAGAAAGGATGAAGGAGAAGAGAAAAGAAAACGAGACCTTAAAAGGCTGTTTCTGTAGCCATATCACAAGCAGCAAGTTCAAATGATGACAAAGGAAAACACCTTCTTGCCTTAAATATTCATATACATAAATATATATATTAAATCTATTTTTTATCGCGCACGACTGCAGTGGTTATTGTTGCCGTGTTTATTGTTACCCGCCCGCACGTATCCATGGCAACAGACCGTAAATCATCTGTTATCGTGTTCATCATTCCGTCTGCGTGCGTTTTTTTTATAACCGTCTCGTGTTGTTGTTACCAAATACATAAAAACGTGATAATATAAACGAATAACTATGATGATGTAAAACCATCGAAAAACTCGTAATTCATGATATATTTTTTTCCAATTTGTATTTCTTACTGGCAATATATGCGATAGCAAAAAGGCTCGACAGACGATCGTATGGACAGTAGGTTATGCTAAAGATGTACGTGGTCCTTACATTTTAACTTCACCGGATACGTGACCGGAAGAAAGAGAAGAATCGCCGACGCAAATCACAACGGAAGTTACAAAAAACAAAAAAACAACTTTAAAGATGAATTAAAGATATTGATTTTTCATCAGCGAATCAGAATCGACGGGCTGCGACGTCAGCTGTGACGTAAGCAGCTGTGACCTCCGAACGGGGTCGAGCTTGTGCAGGGCGCAGACGACGGCGGTGTCGCCACCTGTGATCATCACCGTCTCTCGTTTCGCGCACGACCGGTCACCGCTCCTACGCAGCAGCAGGCAGTTTTTTAGTCTGTCGCTGCTCAAGTGCAGCCTTCGCGACGGACGGCGCGCGCCACGCTGGATGCAGTCTAACGTCGGCATGCTGAACGACTTCGGCATGCGCAACGCGTCGTCGTCGCGACTCTCGACCACGAGCGCCACCTGCTGGCGGCTAACTACAACGTCGACGCTTCCTCGAGTGTCCTTGGCGTGCCGAAGTTCTTGCGTCTCGTCGCCAGGTGTCGCCGCGAGCTGTCCGTGCACGGCGGGTTCGGTGCGGGATCGCGGGAGACGTCGTCCAGCCGACGTCGTGCTGAAGGGTCTGTCACACAGGGTCACACTCCTCGGCAGTGTCCGCCCCCGTCCCCACCGCTGCTGCTGCTGCTGCTGGTGGTGCTGGTGCTGCTGCTGGTGGTGGTGGTGGTGCTGCTGCTGCTGGTGGTGGTGGTGCTGCTGCTGCTGGTGGTGGTGGTGGTGCTGCTGCTGGTGGTGGTGCTGCTGCTGCTGCTGCTGCACCAGCGAACACCCATCAGAGAGTAGAATATCACAGAGACGCTGACTGCAAGAGTAAGATGGCGGCGGCTCGACCGCCGCGCCGTCTAGCGGGCCGTACGGCGGCGGCGCTGCGGACAGCCGCGACTGTGCTGCCATCGTCGGCGTGAAGGCGAATATCAGCGAGTCGGGAAGATCGTCCGGGTAGAACCGGAAATCCGGTGGGATTCTCGTCTGCTGGCGGCGGAGGGCGGCTGGAAGAAAAAAAATGGCGGCGAGAAATAAAAAAAAATAGAGAAAATTTAGGAATATTTTATTATTGTAGAAAGGTTTTGTGTCGATCTGTTTAACCACCCGCCCCCACTATCCTCTCTTCTCTTTTTCTCTCTCTCTCTCTCTCTCTGCGTACGGACTCTCCCTATATATTATATATATATAATATAATCAGGCTGAATAATATGATTAATATATATATATACGCGATAGAGAGGAGTGGTAGGACGAGAGAGAGTGAGTGAAGTGAGTGAGAGAATAGGAGAGAGGAGAGCGAGTGTGTGTGGAGATAAATACGTTGTACGTCTGTGTACATATTCATCGTGCATATATGCACAATATAGTACATAATCGGTAATTCATCCCCGAAATTAAATAGCGCATGTAAGTGCGTAAATTCCGCTAAAGCTTTATCATAAAATTGCCTCGTCGTGTGACAGGTCACCGGCCGACGCGCAGGCAGCAGACGAAACAATAGAAACCAGGACGCCTTCATCTCAGCCAGCTTCGCTCTTGTCAATCGCTCGCTTGGCTATCATATCGTGCTTCGTTATTAAAAAAGGAAGCATACTAATATTTTACGCGAGGAAGCGCAAGCGGCGAGCGGCGAGCGGCGAGCGGCGGCGGCGGCGGGCGGCCCGAGTTTATGAATTTATGATTTAATTCAGGCGATGCTTCATATGTACGATTACTCTCTCTCATCTTCTCTCTCTCTCTCTCTCTCTCTCTCTCTCTCTCTCTCTCTCTCTCTCTCTCTCTCTCTCTCTCTCTCTCCTCCTCTCTCTCTCCCTCCCTCCTCCTCTCTCTCTCTCTCTCTCTCTCCCTCTCGCTCTCTCTCGCTCTCTCTCTCTGTCTGCCTACTGATGAGGCGGGGATTTGCATGGCAATACAACGCACATGCGGCCGACGCTCAGACGCCCGGCTGCTGATTGGGTTGCCCTGATGTTCTGTTCTGTTTCTCCGGCAAGCAAATCTCGGATTTGCAATGTAAATTAGCAACGACGGTGGCGTCACGCGGCGGCGAGGTAACTTCGTTGGCATGCGCGCGCGCTGAATGAATATTTTCTCGCGAAGGAGGTGACGGACGAATCGAGAGGCGGGCGAATCGAGAGTGACGTCATCAGAAGACGCGTTGCGTCAATCGGCGGTGTTGTTGAACATGATTGCGCGTGAGTTGGTTCGCGCCATCACCATTGGCGAATGTGATTGCCAATTGTCATAGAAACGCCATCCGCAGCGGAATATCCGACTTCCGTCTAGCTATCGTCATCGTCGCTCGCTCGTCGCCGCCGCCACCGCCCTCATTTCCGGTTGATCAATCAGNCTGTGTACATATTCATCATGCATATATGCACAATATATACATAATCGCATTCATACCCCGAAATTAAATAGACGCATTAGCCGTAATATTCCGCCAAAGCTTTATCATAATATTGCTCGTGTGTGCACAGCGTCACCGCCGGCGGCAGCAGCAGACGAACAATAGAACATGAGGACGCCTTCATCTCAGCCCACTCGCTCTCTCGCTCGCTCGCTATTCATATCTGCTTCGTTATTAAAAAAAGGAAGCCAATATAATATTTACGCGCGGGAATCGCAGCGGCGAGCGGCGAGCGGCGAGTTTATGATTTATGATTAATTCAGCGATGCTTCATTGTACGATCTGTCTTTCTCTCTCTCTCTCTCTCTCTCTCTCTCTCTCTCTCTCTCTCTTTTTCTCTCTCTTACTCTCTCTCTCTCTT